TCGAGAAGCCGTCAAACACAACACTAATTACACCTATAATAAACTCATCTACCAGTCGTCCAGGATCATTATCAAAGACTAAAGCAACCTTTAAACCGTCCAACCTCTCTTCATCATCCACGTCCCCCGCTCCAAATGGCTATCCAACCTACGCTTCTCCTCTTTTAAATGGTAGCTCATCTCCTGCTCCACTCATCAACGGCAAATCAGTCAGCAATTCTCTTTTCCCTAAAGATCTAATGGAGCTGCCGACGGGCGCCTAGCTACTTCTTATCGACGTACGAGACAGGGCCGATTTTCAAAGAGAACATATTAAGCGTGATGCCGTCATTTGCATCGAGCCAACAATACTACGCCGGAAAAGGTACGCTGACTTGTAACGAGCCGTCCATTTGTTTAATCACAGTCTCTAGCATAAATGCGACGTCATTAATGGAAGCACTGGTCATCAGTCCTCCCTCTGAAGTTAGTCTGTTCGCCAACCGCGAAAATTTTGATTATGTTGTGCTATACGACTGGAATTCAACGAGCTTCGGCTCGCTGAACTCGCCACTTTCCGTCTTGGTGCAGACAATCTATGAACGGGAATTCACTCGTATGCTGAAGCATGCGCCAATCATTCTTGTCGGGGGGTTAGAAGCTTGGAAGAAAGAATTCGGTGAAGCAGAGGTCACCAAAGGAGACGGTGAAGTTGCGAAGCCACCACCCTCCTCAACTTCGACAGAGACATTTGCATCTGCTAATCCACCGATTCTACAACCGTCGGCGAAAAACCCTTTTGCGAATGGTACCATCCCTTCTGCTCTGCCATCCTCATCTGGAGGTGCCAGTTATACTGAGCATCATCAAGTGTGGACTCCGGGGAGATCACGCGCTGACACTAATCCAAGCAACAACCATGTACGTGAACACCGGCCAACCTATTCCTTAGATCAGGCCTACAATCATGTTCGGTATGGGTTTGTGTTTTCTGAGTCTGAACGAGACTATGACATGAGAACTCTAGGTCGCCTGCTGAAATTACCTATCCTAGCCGTCCCCAACCCTCAGGGGGGCCTCCACAATTGGTGAGAAGACCGGCGCCATCTCGACAACCGCCTTCTTCGTCTCCTACCTCTACCCGGACACCAGACTCTGTACGCTGCGTCTTATTTTCAATGATGATTCGCTAATATTCCTGCAGTTTGCATCTCCCCCTATGTCTCCATCAATTTCAACGTTTAATGGAATACCTCCCACTAACGGAATGCTACCAGTATCATACCCTAATTTTCCTCGTCATATATCTCCTGCTTCTCCGCAGCCCTTCTTGCCAGACATAGCCTCTCCACCTCAGGCTTCTATCAATTCATCTCTCCCCAGAAGGAGAAGTGATTACATTGATCAAACACAAGAGGCATTGGCAGGACTACATGGTTCCCAGCGTGGACCAATAGACTATCCTGACCTTGTGACTTCACGACCGTTAATCCGGCCTCCTCCAGCAGCCGCCTCGAGCGCTCTGGAGAGACAAGACAATCGACCTCGTAATAAGTCGTCAACAGTCATTCTCTTCGCCTACTACCATCCTGACACCTTCATACCGGTGTCATTGTGCAGTCGCCTTCCTTGCCTGCCCATACTAACTCTCTATCTTATTGGTCCGACGTTCAGATTGGCATGTCAGGTTTGAAGAACCTCGGAAGTACGGGCTACATGAATGCTCCTATACAGTGTCTGAGTGCGACCGTGCCGTTCGCAAGATTCTTTACCGGTAATTTCATTCTGATTGTACTTGTTGCAAGCGCACTGACCTAAGGGGTAGACGGTAGATGGAAACATGACATCAATAATCATAATAAGTTGGGTACGAATGGTAGACTCAGCGGAGCATTCGCAAAGGTGTTGTACGATATGTGGGGTCAGGATCTGCCTTACTTGACACCCATAGATTTCCGAGTGAGTACTGCCAAGTTATTTCCCGTGTCCCGATTGCCTAACAGTCTACAGAGAACCATTGCTCAATTACAGTCGCAATATGCCAGTACCGAACAGCATGACTCGCAGGAGTTCCTCAGCTTCTTATTGGATGGTATACATGAAGACCTTAATCGGGTTACTTTGAAGCCTCCCACAGTTACACTGACACCTCAGGAGGAGGCCGAGATGGAGAAGCTTCCTCCGTGCATTGCCAGTGACAGGGAATGGTCACGATGGATGTCGCGGAATAACAGCGTCATTGCTGATTACTTCCAGGGTCAGTTCCGGAATCAATTGCAGTGTATGACATGTTCCACAGTATGTCCCAACACCTTGCGTATTCTCCTGGGTGTTGACAAGTACCTTTGCAGACCTCAACGACGTATAACGTCTTTTCTATCCTTCAACTTCCCATTCCTTCGGGAAGGCAAGTAACACTACAACAGTGTCTCGACGCTCTTTTCAACGACGAGATCTTGGAAAAAGACGATGCATGGTGAGCTTCATCTTCCATGTTCATGTTGCGCCTACTCATTGAGCGACAGGGATTGTCCTAAATGCAAAACTAAGCGAAAAGCGTTGAAAAAGCTATCACTAGCACGATCACCGCCGATTCTGCTCATACATTTGAACGCTTCGAAGCTAATGGTCGGTTCTCGGACAAGATCGATACGTTTGTCGAGTTTCCGCTGAAAGATCTTGATATGACATCACGAATGCCCCTCCCGCCTCACAACGAAGCTTTACTCAATGGGGGTGTCGTTATGTCTCCTAATGATCCTCGGAGACAGATACCGCCATATAAGTATGACTTGTACGGTGTCACAAACCATACTGGTAATTTGAGTAGTGGCCACTGTAGGTCTTCTTCATGTCCACAGATAATTCCTGTTCTCAACTGTTTAGATACTGCATTAGTCCGTTCTAGTGGTCGGTGGAATTACTGTGATGATAGTAGCATCAAGACTGTTGAAGACAGAGACGTAGTGGTATGTATCTATTTGTCAGTCCACTCGCGTGTATGCTGATAATTGTCGCAGAGTCAGAAAGCCTACGTATTGTTTTACAAAAGGAAAGCATAATTTACTCGCTCGGTTATTAGCATCATTCTTGTCTTTCACTGTTCGTGTTTGTTACCATCTATCTTTCCGTGCTGTGATTATGCTATCATCTGTATACTACGCTTGCATCATAACCTTCAGAATGGAAACCTTCTATTTTGTACTTATTTTCGTCTAACTTTTGTCCCAATCACGCAAAATCCAGCTGTGGTGTCTTATTTCTAAAGCCGATTCGCTAATATTTCTGTAGTTTGCACCTCCTTCCTATGTCCCCATCAATTTCAGGGTTCAATGGAATACCTCCCACTAACGGAATGCTACCATTCATCTCCTGTTTTCTCTCCCGCTTCTTCGTAGAGTCAGAAAGCCTATGTATTGTTTGACAAGAGTAACGTTCGAGTCGTGACTTCCAGCCTTTTTTAATTAAATTTCCTGATTCTTCGTGTAGTACTTTATACCTCCCACACTGCAAGGATTTAGTCCAACACCTCAATCGCGATTATTTATTTAACTTCTGAATATTTTCAACACAATTCCTTTAAAGGCAAGTGTGAGGCTCCACGTCGACGGCGTAGTCGCCAAATTCTCACGCTCGATCACCATGTCTTCGCACCAGTGTGCCTCCTTCCCTTCAACCTCAACCTATCTTTATTCTCGTTCCTTTCTCTCACTTCAATCAGGAATTGTCTGGGGTTGAATGAACATCTCGTAGAGGGGAATGGAAACTTCCACTATCGTTTATGCTGGCCTCGCAGCAGTCTTTGGGACGGTGATATCTGTACGTGTTGCTGCGATCTCCCTCAGCTAGATGAAAACCCGTTTCATCCTTGTTCTTCGAGCCGCGGGTCTTTGTACGCCGTGGCGAGGACGAAAACATCTGGGTCAGGGTATACAACCCTCTCTGATTCCTTTCCTTGCTCCTTATTATGTTTCAAGTTCCTCAGCTAACTGTATCATTAGATGTACATTGCTCTCGTCGCATGGTCCCCTGACCCAATAATCACCCGCGACTCTGAAAAGAAATATCGCTCTCACAAGCATCACACCGATGCCCAACCCCTGCCACTTCTCTCTGACCCAAGCACCGTCGACCTTAGCGTCGTCATCCCGGCCTACAACGAGACTGAGCGCCTCCCCATCATGCTAGCCTCCGCTATCGACCATCTCAGCCAAACGACGCACTCATTTGAGGTGCTCATCATCGACGACGGCTCCTCTGACGATACCTCGGCCGCGTCTCTCAGTCTCGCAGGGAAGTACCCAAAATGTGATATTCGTGTAGTGACTTTGGAGAAAAACCTGGGCAAGGGTGGTGCGGTGCGTCATGGGATGCTCTATGCGGGTGGGGAGCGGCTCTTGATGGTCGATGCCGATGGAGCAAGTCGGTTCAATGACCTGGAGCTCCTCCTGGCGCGCCATGGACGATATCGCGCCAGATTGTGGTGCAGGGGTCGTCGTCGGGAGCCGTGCACATCTTGTCAGAACGGACGCAGTCGTAAGGGTACGTACGCATGCGCCCCTTCCCCTTTACCGTGACTTAGGATAGCCTTCAGCGTTCGCTGCTTCGGAACATCCTCATGTATGGGCTGCACACCATCCTGCGAATCGTAGGTGTCGGACACATCCGTGATACTCAATGCGGGTTCAAGTTGTTCTCGCGCTCTGCGGCGCAGCAGATATTTCCTCATCAGCACCTGCCTACGTGGATATTTGATGTCGAGCTTCTCCTGCTCGCTAAGCAGCTCTGCATACCTGTTGCAGAAGTGCCTATCGACTGGCATGAGGTCCCAGGGAGCAAACTGAATGTGGTGACGGCGTCCTTGCAGATGTTGAGGGATTTACTGATTGTTAGAGCAAATCATCTGTTGGGGAGGTGGAAGGCCTCGTCGAATAAGGTTAAATCAGATTAACTAGAGTGATATATGAGGTCCTTCGTCCCTGCTTCGGCCCTACTAGCTTAGGTTGTACCACTGAAGCATCTGCCCCATGGCTGAGTTGGTTACAGCGTCCGACTGTTATTATGACATCGGAAGGTCGTGAGTTCGAGCCTCACTGGGGCAGCTATTCTGCAATAGCGCCTAAAAGGTGGCTTCTTGCTTTTATACCGTCTTGCAAGTTGCAACTGTCCCTGAGGGCTCCCGGCTTCAGGTTTCTAGGCTAGGGCTGCACATTGATACCGTTTTGTACCCACCCTGCCTGGGGGATTTCTTACCGGTACGGTAATTTACCGTTTCTTACCGGTCATGTGACCTCCACGTGACCATCGCGGAGTCATTTTTCCAAATTCTTCCGTACGACGCTGTGACGCTACGCTGCCCCATTGTCATACGTCAAATACTCATGAATCCTGTCCCAATACCCATCGGAACTCTCTGGCTACGTCTTCTTACTTATTACTGCTCTGCGAAGTGAAATCATAAAAAGATTAGTGGTAATATTGTCATGTGGTCGGTAAGTTACCTCAATGAAATATGCTCCACTGACCTGCAGTGTTTTCTTACCGGTTCCTTACCGGTCCGAAACTGGGGTGTATCAAAACTGGGAGTTTCGTGCGCAACCCTACTCCCGAGTCCCGGCTTCAGGTTTCTGGGCTGTGGTGTATGGCTTGTAGTGAGGAATACTATGAAGGCATCAACATTATTCAGAACTTGTTGATATAAACGACATCAAGTTTTTGACTCGTGAGGACTATATTATTAAATAGGTTTACAGCCCGATCGGACCAAGTCATAGGAAAGAAAGTCCCGCGCATGGATCGGCCCGGAGGGTAATCCCACAACAATGTTCATCTCCTTTGTTTTCGCCATCATCACCGCCGTTGTGACACTTGTTCGTCGTTCCAGACGTCGAGGAAACAGCTCACCAGCCCGCCCGATATCCAAACATACGAGGAACCTAGTACGACGTGTCCACAGCATTGGGCTATGAGGATGCGTTTCCGTCTTGCCTAAAGATACAGCAATGAGGTCCGTCTGCTGTAATCTTTTGGTGATGTTTCATATCAACGTATAGATAGCGTAGCTCCGATGGCATACTAGTAGTGGCACGGCAGCCTCGTGTTCACGACGTTAGCGCGGTTCTAGGTATAACACCTCATGAATTTTTGTCGTTATTTGACTCGATTAATCTTGACTAACGAATACTTTGAAGTCGTAGCAGTAACTATCTGGCTGAGTTTACTTCATGCCATAACTCTCCACCAACACTTGCGATACCACCTTGAGGCTCTACACCACTGCCTCGAGAAGGCGCGAATCTTCGGGAGAAGAGCAAAGATAGGTACGCGGGAAGTCTTCCTGCTAGCCTAGCGCTCATCTCCACATCGTAGGTTCCTTGAGATAAGCGCCCTTAGATGGGGCCATTTCTTCCCAACCCCCAAACGCCAAGCGTACTATGTACACTTCCAGGGTAAGTCATACGCCCTTGATGGGGCGCTGGCCGATACAAAGGCTGTACTCGTTGTGTTGTCATTGTGGTACGCGTTGTAGAGAATCTTGGCAGAAGTTTTCTATTCTATACCGCATGTGCATTGCCCTTGCCCATAAACGCTTGGGCAGACACAGCATAACGACAGCAAGCCGTCGTCTTTCTCGTCAAAATAAGATTGCTCTATCAACGAGATTATCGGGCTCCTATGATCCGCGGCACCCGCCTTCAAGCGCCCGCCTTCCTTTTCTATCACGGATCCCAAGCAACCTGTCAATGGGTGAGAATGTCTTCCGTCTAAAGAGGAGAAATCTCTAACCGCTGACGCTTCTCATGGATAGTCTTAGCGCAGTCAACAGGACCTCCAAATTAATTGGCGACATCCGCACAAAGTGTTCCAACCACCGTGCTGCATCTGAAACCATTCAGCTGACAGAAGGTTGCCTGCAATGCGTCCAATCTCGACTGGACATCTTCCGCCAATATCTCAAGAAAGCTGAGCCGACTCTCTCGTCTCGTGCACAGAATGCTTTCTTTCAATCCTTGCGGAGGGTCGAGGATCTATCGTTCGAGCTGGAGGTCCAGCTTTTACCGAACATCGTCAAGGGCAAACTGAAGTGGATCGAGCCGAGGAAAAGACGGATTGAGGAATTGGTCTTCGAGATCAAAGCGTGGGTGGAAGAAGCTGGATTGACGATCCGCGCCTATGGCGTATTGCTGAAGATCACAAGCTATCGACGTCCTATACAAGCAATTGTTGAGGACGTACTCTCATTCATTGGCAATGTATGGTAATTCATCGAAGATGTACGACGACTCATTGACGAGCGCGTTGGCATTGGCTCGACGAGTTCACAATCGTGGAGAACAAATACAACCCCCCCTCATCCCAAACCGCGCCGTCAAAGGAGTCGGGCCCGTCATTCATGACCGTGCGTTTGCTACCCTCAACGACACAGACGTGGTGTATGTGGAGGCCCACCGGTACGCTGAATCGAGAAGCGAGATCGAAAAGATAGCAGCGATCTTCTATGCGCCGGATTTTCCCTTTCATACCAGAACACCTCCTCCCGTGCATAGGCTCCGCAAAGAATCACGACAGCAGCGTACACTTCCTCATCTATCAGCTCCCGCTTATGATGATGTCAAAGCTTAACATGAGGGTGCCTGTTCCGACGCTAGGGAACGCCCTGAATAATGGCATCCGGATAGCGCTCGAAGACCGCTTTCGCATCGCGGCGGAGGTCACCATGGCGGTGCTGGAGCTACATGCGGTGGGCTGGGTACACCAAGCCATTTGTAGCGATAACGTGCTCCTATCGACCAAGGGAGGAGAGAAGGGAGCAAACGCCGACGCTCAAGTCAGCTCTGCCTATCTCATCGGTCTCAAACCTGTACGACTTCAGGGTTGGGGTCTTAAGAGGCTCCCAGCACCAAACGACTTTGTGGAACAGGGCGACGTTAGATACGATTTGTATTATCTCGGGATCAGTGCTCATTGAGATCGGGTTTGGCCAGTCGTTGCAGGCGATACTTTGGAAGGCGCGCGCGGTATTAGGAGAGCCGAAGCGTGGAGAGACGGAGTATGAGCGCCTGAGAGAGTGCGCCCGTCGATTGGGTAATAATATGGGTTCGAAGTACGCCAAGGCGGCGATAGCTTGCCTCGTGTTGAGTGGGCAACCGAAGGATACAAGAAAGCTGAGGGAAAAGCTCTACGAGGATGTTTTGTGTCCTTTGAGGCAGATAATGGATGGCTTCAAGGTTTGTTCCGTGTCGTGTTGACCTATCTATCCGTCGGGCTTATGATATCAGACAGGATAGGAAGGGAGTGCAAACGATCAAGACGTGATCAGCAGGAGATTTTGGCACAGCGATTATTCTAAAGGACTCTCTATTATATAGACCATATATTTGATTACAACTTACAATTCATAATACAAGGCTGTATTTATGTTGGTACTTCAATAGCGCGCCCTTGAAACTGACAAGAAAGGCAATTTAACGGGTGAGTAGTGTATACTTGCCGCATCTAGGTACACTGGGTCGTATAAGACTCTCAAGTGTATGAGAATATCTCGTTATCGAGTATGGAGCTCGAGACGAAAAAAAAAAGGTCTGATATGGCTATGGAAGACTGTTGTAAATTGGTTACACCTTGTTGCTGTTTAGTGCAACTGGAAGCTAGGAAAGGGAAATATCATGGTTGTACTCACAACAATTTAACATATTGGGGGTATCATCTTGTCCGGCCTCATTATAATGTGCTATGCATGACCATAGATACCGCTTATTCTGAAGGATAGCGGTTATACCCTGGTGTTTGGGACTCGGCAAGCATTAAATCCACCCAGGCCTGAAAACCACTTATGAGAGTATTCTTCCCTGAAGAGTTATGAGCACTCACGTCTGCACTTACTTATGTTAGAGTAAGAACAGCTATAAGAACGTAGCGTAAGAAGTATGTAAGAGATAAGAAGTTAAACCATATACGCACCTCGGCCCCAGTCAGTCGCATAGTCGTAGTGAACAGCTGAGGTGCAGCAAAGGGGAAAATGTATAGATACAGGCAAATGTATAGAGGGGAATAGTCTAAATATAGTAAGTAAGTTCATTCAAATATACGAAACGTCGGTAAGGCGGGATAGGCGGGATAGGCTGAATATCCGACAACTTACAACTGAAGACGGGTAGGTTCAGATTCAGGTATGAATATAGTTACTGACAAAGTATGCAAATTTATTACAATACTTGTGAATCGAACAAGAATTGAAAGAATGAATGAAATTCGAAATGTACATCGGAGTGATTTTCGTCCAGTTCGGCAAATGGATGGACATTTCGAACTGAGTTTGAACTGGCGCATCACGGAAAGACGACATCTACAGCAGAGTTTAATCTCCGGTTTACAACGCTGTCTGATCTCGCAACGTAGATCCAAGAGGAAGAGAAACGCCGGCAAAGTCTGACTTTTTGGCCATAGCCCTCATCAATGCATGGTATTTCCCTTGGGTATGATGGCGACATTTTTTTCGGAATTGTACGTACATGATGGCAATCTAGAACTTGGGCGAAACTCAGGCGCTTCAACTTGTTGATCAAGGACTCCATGCTGTCTGCTCCGATGTTCGTTCTCCTTTTCTTGTCGTTGTAGTTGTCATAACCCATAACTTATAGTGTTCTGCAGAACCGTTGCATTTGGTACTGTATAGCGCGCTTCAGATACGGTCCTCGACCGTAGATGTCGCGACAGATACAGTAATGCCTCGAAGTCTTCGTTTCGCTCGACACCAGACTATCCAGGGTTGACTTCGGCACGGTTCCAGTCTCTCGTAATCTGTGATTCTTACCTCGAGGGCTGTTCTCTATTGGTGACTGTCAGCAGGTAGCACTAGTTCCCGGTTTTCGTAATATATACTATAATCGGGGTCTCCTCTTCTTATGCTACGAGTCCTCTATCAATTTCTACACTGACGACCTAATCTTTCGATGGACATCTTCAGCACAACCGTCGAGGTTATCAAACTGATAAACGGCATCTACACGAAGTATTCTGACTATCGTGATGCGGACCAAACCATTCACTCGATGCAGCATCGCTTAGAGTGCGTGGAGATTCGATTGGAGATGTTCCGTGA